TTCGCTGTCATAACACCATCATTGCGTTGCCACTAGCTCTTAAGTGTCTCCGGTCGGCATGTACAATACAAGTGTGATTGTTCCATCCCCGCACTTCATGTTCGAGATCGCAATCACCAAAGAAAGAAGAAACTTTGTCAGGCATGCATGTCTTTAAGTGAGGGCAATAAAGAGCTATGAGCACAGGAGTTGCCGTTCGATAATCATCCGGTGACAACACATCTAAAGTAGATGACCTCGCGCCCTGCTCTCCATTGTCCTTGATTAGTCGAGCTGTTCGAGCCGATATGGCAGTTAGCCATGTCTATGCTACGATTTCGCGAGAATACCTAACTGGAAAATGCACAAGCGAGTCAAATATTAGGGTTTTGCGGCAATAAATACATCCGCTTTCTAGAGTAGCCCCTGATAGCCTTCTGAAGATGCTAGCTCGACTACTTGCCGCTTTATTCTTTCCAACCAGCCAATATATCTAAGGACACCAAACATCCCCCCCTCCATCCATCCTACTCCTTTCTGTACACAGCCGCAACCATTGCCTTTCCACTAAGAAGATATCGAAGCAATCTGCTCAACGCACGTGTAGCCTCAAGCCAATCTTCCTTGAGATATAGGTTATAACCCCGCGTAAACTCCAAATCAAACTTCTCCTCATCCGAGTATCCATGTTGATAGACCCTAGCAATCCGATCTCGCGGAAAGAATCCCCGGCATATATGAAGATAGGGTCCATGGAGGCCAACAACAAAGACTTCTTGGCTCTGGACCCCGCCATGTGAACCATGTGTCAGATTCATATTCAGATGCCCCAACATAGTGCAAATTGTATCTGTCAAAAGGTCGTTCCAAGTTTGTCCCTTGTACCACTGTATTCCATTAGAAAGCCGTCTTTCCCCAAGATGTAACCGACAAACCTACCCCAGTAAAAGAGACTACCGGTATAAATTCAGCTCGAGTCCCAACATGAATATTACCCTCTAATCGGGCAGCATATTGCAACCTTCCCACTACATATTTCACATCACGTGGGTATGGTAAGGCACTAGAGATATGTTACCATCACGCTAACTATACCCATCCAATATAAAATGTATGTATCACTTACCCAAGCCTCGGCGCTTCATCATCCAAACCCTCAAGTCTACGATAGATGCTTCGCATCAAGTTGCCAAGGACATGGCTCTGCGTGTGGAGGAACTGCACATGATTCGACCTGTCGCCGACCCTCCAACTTTTCCTAGGTAACGTGATTATCTCGCTGGGTTTCAAAATATTGGTTATCCCAGTTTCCTTGCACAAGATCTCTGAGATCATATTTCCATGTCCTTGGTCCTCTATATAGTCGACGAGTTGAGCGAACAAGGTCTTGAAGAGAAGCTCTTCTTCCGGCCAGCTCTGTGTGCAGTCCCAGTCCATAAGGTTTGATTGTTTGAAGACCCAGGGGATAAATTGTTGGACATCTTCATCTGATTCATGCGTTAGCAGAGCGTATTTGAATTTTGAGAAAAAAAGAAGTCTGCAGTAGATACCTTCGCGTTCAGAGTCAACGACTCTAGGTATTAAGCAGTCAAGCTCGACTACTTGGGAGTGAATGGTTATCGACATCTTTTGAAGTGTAGGAAGAAGATTAGCAGGTTGTCAGCCAATATGTTGATGGTCTTGTGTAGGTTGCAGCGAGATAAGAGGCGTGCGATGACACCTACTGAGCCAGACTTGAGAAAAATCGTAGGTGAGACAAACGCTGGTTTTAGATAGCACGGCATCTTCCGGTTGTACAGACCACTAACACTTTCAGACGGAAGTGTCTGTATTATATCATATTAATGAAATAATTGTGATATCTGCCTATTGTGCTAAGGTGAATGTTCGGAATGGTCTGTTATGTCATGGTAATCAAATTAGACTGTATGATCGCATGATATCCTTGATATAAGTTTACTAGATATCAGGAATGCTGACGCCCAGCAAAGTAATTATATTTTTTTTAAAACATCAAATCTAGGAAGAAAAGAGTAAATAAACATAATGTTATCCTAATAGATGATTGTTCACTAGAAAAAAAAGTTAACCCCCATTGTAGAGACTATGATGCCATCACAATAAAGTATTTCTTTCAGTATTTACATTCTGGCATCATACGCATAGTTTGATGTGAATATAGATAAATAGATAACTCCAGAGAGTAAATATAACTATCCATTTAACATTAATTACTCCTTCCGCTAAGTATACACACTAAAGATCGACTTATCACATTTACATCAGAATTGGGTGGTTTCGGGCGATAGCTTCCTGCAGCACAGGCCTCGCGACATAGTTACGGCTGCATTGCATCTGCAAAAGAAGCCGGTGTGGTTCTTATACATTGTCAGGTGATTAGTAGTGACTTGACTGTTCCTCTAAATATACATTACAATGTAAATACGGTAACATACGAGAAGGCAGTCTGGATATGAATTATTTACAAAGAATGTACTCTCATGCGAAAAGGCAGAGGTCACTATAACCTACTTCACTTAGTCTGGCTATCCAGGGCAGCGACGAATAAGTTAATCAACTGTACCAAGATGTTAGAAATTGTGACGTTGCTATATTGAGCAGAAGCAAGATGGGTTATACTTACATACGAAGAATATGGTTTATCTCCGCCAGCTCTGCGGAACACCTCCCGCCGCTCATCCAGCTGATCTTGACAACAATAGACCATCTCTTGTAACTCCTTGTTCATCCTGAGATTACTTAAAAAGTTCTCTGCATTGGCATCATTGCCGACCCGTGAGATCAGAAATATTGCACCCGCTGGCTGCTTGGAAAGCTGGGTCAATCTCTTTTTGCACTCCAAGACGGTCTCACCAAAGCAATTCTCATCCTCACCATCTGGCTAACGTGAATCATGTACTGGTTAGTCCAATGACAACTTTGCAGGAGATTGGTAAAACTCACGTGTCCATCTGTTATGACGATAGTAATGACCGGCTTCACAGAAAGGCCATTCTCCAATGGATCGAAAATGAGAGGCTGGACAATTTTGGTTCTCAGCGCGTTTCCCAGTCTCGTCCACCCAGAATATTTGACCTTCTTCATATGGCTTCTGATCTCAGTTAGTGACAGCTTATTCAGGTGCCGGTCATCTGTGCTGTTCAAAAACCGAAGATACACGTCCTGGTCTTGTATAGCGCTGGCAATTTCAGCAACACGTTGACAAGTATCTTCGAGAGCCCGTATACGAGCACCCCTTTTGATTTTCATTGAACTGCTGTCATCTAACTCAAAAGCTTAGTGTGGAAACAGGGGATCTGTTGAGGGGTAGAAGCGTACCGCAGAGGATCACAAAGTCATATAAGGCCATGACGGCCAACTTCGGCGTGGTTCCGGGTTCCAAGTCGTATTTTTGTGTGAGATCCTTCGCACGAACAGCCGCACTCTTCACTAGTTCCTCCACGTATGGATCTCCGGGTTGGTAATATGACTGGAGATAATGCTCGATGTAACCCCAGACATACTGTCGATACTCTTCCTCAGTCTCCGGTATCTTGGGCGCCAACGAGCGCGATAGTGATGAGTTTTCGGGCTGTTGATATCCGAGATGTCTACTGAATTCGGTGAGAAACTGATCGACAACCTCGGCAACAATCTCATTGATAGTATTTTCGTGCTCGTCGCCGACACTCGAGGATTCGTACCCATCATACTCATCACTGTACTCCGAACCCATGACTGAAGGCCTGACAATGGGAGTGATCGTGGCTGGTTTCTTGAATGTTGGCTATAGTTGTGGACTCCATGTATTCGACCATCTTTTCTGCCTTCGGCCCGACATCTTTAATGTCATCGCCGCAAGGTTGCCAGCACACAATACCCTGATAAGGTAGCCATATATCGTGTGCGCGTGACTGATGGTCGGGGAGCCCAATTATCCTGCAGCCAGCTTTCATGCTAGTATAGAGGTTGTAGGGCGTTCCTCAAGAAGCGGCTGAGGAATTTTTGGGTGCCGAAGAATGAATATGGAACAAAGTGTCGAAGCAAACGACAACTGACAGGTGGGGTCAGGGCGGGGCTCGCGGCGGGGCACCTATGATATCATGCATGTACTATAACATTCTCCCCCCGACGTTGCGCGGCAACCGCGGAGAAGCAACCTTCCGTTCCCAATGTATGGCGATATATGGCCTACAAATGAGTACAGTCCTTCCTGACAACATATTCTGGAGCAGCCTAACAGGCTGTCTTGATGCCTGATGTCGGAACTTCGGTCGCTGCTCTTCAACTCTGCCTCCATATTCGGCTTTATGTGGCCGATTCGAAGGTTGAGTTCGCCAGATGTGCTCACCCTCTGTTACTGTCGATATGCACCTGACTCGTATCTGCTAATGTGAAGAAGACATCTGGAAGTCTGATGAAACTTGATGACATCACTACTTATCGCCTGCCCGAACCATAACATTACATGCAAGCAAAATGCAGTGCTTGACTAGTGGCCAATCAACGCTCTTAGACACAACGCTCAGCCTTGCGCTGAACAAATAAGATAAAGGGCAAACTCTCCGTGGCCCGATAGCGTGGAGACACGTCGGCCATTCTGCTGGCATACCCCCAGTTGATATGCAGTGTGTCCGCAAATGGGCAAATTATTTTCAGCAAATGTTCCGGCTGGTGTCCAGTAAGGGCCCTAACTGCAAGATGCATTTGTTTGAGGCACACCAATCCACACCGCTCCTGATCAGCTGCCTGCGTGAACTCCCTGCCAGTTTTTTGTTTGTTTCATGTTTTCTCCATGCCAATGCAATCACGCCCAAATACCCTAATCAGACAATGAACTGCTGACTACCTCGGGGATCACTATGTGCTTCGTGCCCTAAACCACCTCCCAATTCCCGACCAAAGCAAGCAGAAATTTCTTCAGCCTCCGAGGCTGAAGATCTCTGGCATTGATCTGATAGTTGTACGGTTAATGACCGCAATGTACCCGTACACGCTGTCTGCTTGTTAGGCGCTCGTGCTTCTCTGGGCTACATCGCTCAACGATGAGACCATTCCAGCAATATCTACCTTTCGAATATCCTAGACCTCGGATAAACATATATGTTGGTGAAGGATATATAATTCTGGTCAATTCTACCTTCACTTATTTTCCGTCCAAGCACCGACAAGTTAACAATTGCTCAGAAAACCTTCCAACAGTCATATTCTATCTTTCAACTAGTACAACTTCCCCATCATCTCCACGTACATTATGCCAAAAGGGCCCGAAGAAGCAATTGTTGAAGACGCTCTGGCAGAGGTCCAAACTGCGGCCAAGAATGACTCTCTCCGAAAGCTATTGCAAAGTCATCTGATCAGGCACTGTACTATCGAGAAGCTACAAGCTTTCCACAGGTCGAACGACAAATACAAGAAGTATATGGTGTCATACCTAGCACAGACTATGGCTATAGATATGTTTGAGAGTTTCGGCCGGGCCTTAGCCTCAGAGTTGGACAAAACGCCCTAAACATTTTGTTGGGCTCACGTCAGGCCCAGGAGGTGTGAGGTAAGCCTTTTCCAGTCCTACACATATTGTGAAGCGTTCTTGATTAACCTAACTACAGTGGTCTATCTGGACAGCCCCAGCGCAGTTATGGTTCCTTGGAAGTATGGTCAAGTGATTATAGTGGTTGAGTTGGTGGTTTTCTCCGAATATACTCGCTTTATACATGTTTTGCAACCGTTTCTGTTACAACTTTAGTGCTTTCAATTCGTTTCTGTTCATAGAGGTCCAATGCAGTTATGATTTGGCTCATCAATATACGTAGACGGCCTGTAGATCAGCAATGTAGTATCATACAGGCTCAAGTGTAAGCAGCAGGGGATGAGGAGAGGAACCAAACATAAATCATAACAATGATTTAAATATAGATGAAAGCAAAATACCACAAAAAGTAAAAAGCATTCCTGAAATTACTTTAGTGCATGCTCAACCTTCTGCGATATCTTTCAAGACCACCACACAACCTTTCAAGAAAATCTCAAACCCGTTACTTCAGGCGCCATCGCTCTAACTGTTTCATGTATACTTTCTGAACGCCATGGAAGCCATAGATTGTTTTCCGTGAGATTCCGAGAGTTGACAACAGACTTGGACACATGTTTGTGAACGTATAGCTGCCCGAACACTTGTAAAGCTGAGTTACACTCTCAACTAGCTGGCAAAGACTGCTGATAAGGGGATGGGATTGCTTTGCGGCCCAACACTGAGCAGACCGACAAACATACTACAAAAGTCGGAAACTCCCCTCGCAAGAAAGAGACAAACCCTCAACTTCCTTTCCAATAAGTTGCCTCTCATATTCTTCTGTCTCAGCTGGATTTCTCATGAAACAGCTATGCCCGCACACGGCCCTCAACAATCACTACGGTGCGCCGACTATCGAGTGGGCTGGGTCTGCGCCTTAGCGCTCGAGCTCACGGCAGCAACAGCCATGTTAGACACGAGACATGGCAGACCATCTGACCTTAAAATCCGGTTCGACGATGACCAATATGAGTTTGGTCAGATCGGTGGTCATAACGTTGTGTTGGCCGTCTTGCCCGCCGGTGGCTATGGAGTCGCTCAGGCAGCCCTTGCCGCAAACATGATGAAACGTGCCTTTCCCGCCATACAGTTCGCTTTGCTGGTGGGTATCGGAGGTGGTGTGCCAAGCAGAACCAATGATATTCGCTTAGGAGATGTGGTGGTCAGCACTCCAGTTGCCGGGTATCCTGGCGTGCTGCAGTACGATCTCGGCAAGCGAGGACTGGACGAAGATATTACTACAACTGGAGTTCTTCGAAAACCAGCACGGAAAGCCTTGGCAGCCATTAACGTTATGAGGGCAAGGTACATGATGATCGATAACGATTTGTCGGGTGCCGTCAACGAAGCACTGGAGAAATATCCCAAAATGTGGGATGATTTCTCCCACCCTGGTACGGTGAATGATGTCCTGTACCGTGCGGATTACGACCATGTGTCTGGAGATGATTGCTCCAATTGCAGTAACAGCATGGTGATCAGCCGAAGGGCACGGAAAACGAACGAACCACGCATTCACTACGGACTTATTGGTTCGGGGAACCAGGTCATCAGAAACGGGAAGTTTCGGGAGCGGCTTAGAGAAAAGCATAACATTCTGTGCTTCGAGATGGAAGCAGCGGGTGCATTGGTAAGTGGTGGAGGTACCACGATTAGTGTCATGATGTTTGTTGCTAATTTTGAAATTATCAGGAAGCATTCGAGTGTCTTGTCATTCGACGCATTTGCGACTACTCAGACTCCCATAAGAATGATCTGTGGCAGGGATATGCAGCGCTTACTGCAGCTGCATACACAAAAGACCTATTGCTTCTGATTGAGGGCCCGGTCTCCCCAGATGGTGTGTACCCCATCTACTTTGTCTCTTCCTTTGTGTAATGTCCTAACAACGATCACATAGCTATGGCTTCACCCAGCCCTCCTGAGGTTGAGGTACCGGAAAATATCAGTCTGGGTGTTCCAGCACACGGGGGCAGCCCGGGGGTCAGAAATCATCCCCAGAACGTTTCCGTCCATAAACCGCAGTTTCACCAACAACAACAACCACCAATAACTTGCGAACCTCCACCAAGTTATACACAGGCAGCACGTTCTTTCCAACCTGCACCTGCATCGGTTGAGCTGCCTTGTCAACAACCAAAGAATGTTGACATTGAAAAGAAACGAGCAGATCGAAACAGTTCTCCAAAACCGCCTGTTTCACGACCACCCCAGCAGCCAATTGACCCTCGGCTCCGGAAAGACTACGGAAGAAGGCTGGTAGAAGCAGCTAAAGCTGGTAATATGCCATCGGTGAAGAAATTCATTGAAAGGGGAGGTGATCCAAACACCACAACCGACGATTGGGAACTTACCGCGCTGCATTACGCTGCCAGGATGGGTCACAACGGATTAACACGACTGCTTCTCAAAGCAGGGGCCAATCCCAATGCCAAAGCTAGATTTAGAAACGACACCCCGTTATTTGAAGCGGCTGCCAGCGGTCATATAAAGGTCGTGCAATACTTACTACTCCACGGAGCTGACTTCACGGTCCATTGTCAGCGGGGTAAGACTGCATTGCATGCAGCTGCCGAGAAAGGGCACTTTGCGTGTGTCGAGCTTCTGGTACAGAGTAAGGCCGATCCTGACAGCATTGACGAGGATGGACATACACCTTTGGACTTGGCGAAGAAGGAGGATCGTTTGGAGATTGTCAAGTATCTGCAGCGGATATAGGGCTTTCTTTATGTTGATTTTCATTCATTTTGAGAGAACCTTGCGATCTAGTTTATTGCGATGCGGCACCAGAATGATATTACAGAGTATTTTGTTCTATCAACATATAACAAACTGACTGGTCGTATATTCATCAAATGTCTTATCTGTGTAGATGTGTGAATCACATGATCAGGCTCCATGCTCTCTTCGACGGTTTCAGTCATCGCTTCTTTACTCCGCATTGCAACAGCTCCATCAAATTCATCAACTCTATCATTATTATCATCGAATATTCTAAGTCATTGCATTCTGGCAGCTATGGAACTTCTCGGAGGCCAGAATCCTACTTCCACAGTAGCACTGCCTTCAAGGTCTTTCCAGTCTTCATGTCGCTGATTGCTTCATCGTATTTCTCAACCGGATAGTTCTTGATGAGTTCCTCGATGGGATAATTACCTTTGATATTCTGCTCAATGAGGTATGGCAGGAACTAGAGTGTTCTTAGTAATGCTGATGTCTCTTATCGTGCAGGGGCATTTTACCTTCTCAGGCTGTCCGTCTCCCTCACAGCATCCTACGTACTGGCGACCAAAGACCAGTTGTGAGAATAGATCGACCTTGACTGTTTTCCCGGGTGTTGAAGCACCAACAGTTGCCAGTTTCCCCCGAGTTCCGAGCGCCTGGATAGCATTCTCAACAACTGCCGGGACACCGGTACAGTCCACGGCATACTGCACTCCAAGCGGTGGACAGATCGCCTGGATTTGCTTGACAAGGTCCTCACCAGATCCCATAATTGTATGTGTTGCCCCAAGCTTTTTCGCTAGGTCTAGTCGATCCTGGTTTAGATCAACGGCGATAATAGTCCTTGCACCACGTATTTTCCCCGCCATGATAGCACTCATACCTACGGATCCAGCACCGAAGACAGCTAAACTGGTTCCGGGTTGCACATCAAGTGTGTTCATAACTGCACCTGCCCCAGTCTGGAAGCCACAGCCTAGCGGCGCGAATCTATCCAGTGGACACTCAGGATCCACTTTCACAACACATGATGCATGCACAATGGCCAAACTGGCAAAGGAACTCTGACCGAAGAAATTTCCACGCAAGGGGTCTCCGTTCGGGAAGGAGAGGGTAAAGCTCCCGTCTGACCTTTGTTGACCGAAGTTGCTCGGTACCCATTGTTTGCAATATGCTGGATGTTCGCTGGTGCATTGCTCACAATCTCTGCAGAAAGCATAGCTCAATAACACCTTGTCATCAGCATGGAGATGTGTGATGCTGCTGCCGGTTTTCACGACAACGCCAGCCCCTGGGCGACTCTTAGCGGGTTACGGGCAACCAATCGGGTCAAGCATACCTTCGTGTCCAAATACACATGGAGCAGATGCAGGTAGATGTCCGTTCATACAAGAGAGATCGGTATGGCAGATGCCTGTCGCATGGATCTCGACAAGCACTTCGTCGGATCTCAGATCATTCAGGTGTATGTCCTCTAAGCTGAGAGGACTATTAACCTCTCTCATCACCAGTGCTGTGGCGGTCGCAGCCATAATTTCGGTTGATTAGGTAAGAGTTAACGGAAAGAGGTTTCTCAATGCCAAAGGGAGGTGTATTCAACCATGTTCGGCCAAATAACAGGGACATTCTTTCTACTTAAGTGTCAGTCTTGCTTCATATCTTTTTACATACCCCAAAACTGAGCCCGATGACGACTGTGAGGTATACCAATAAGCTCTCCTGCATCTGCCGTGTTCTGGATCCGGCCCTTGGTTATATCCGAAAACCAGGGATAGGCAGCAGGCCCCGGATTCTGAACTGCGGGGAGAGTTTATTAAGGTTTACTAAGCACGCCACTAGCGATCAAATGTGTACTCTTTTCATTACAAGCTATTGATGCGCCGCCAAGTAGTAGGCCAGCCTCACAACTAAGCGAACATCTTTTGTGGAGTATTCATACTCCGTACAATGGGCTGATATACCTATGCTTCTTGTCGCCGATAGAAACCCTACCGAATCAACGGGCCGTTCTAAGCACAACTTGATGTGACTCCTCACATCTCTGCTTAAACATTACACTCTTATTGGCGGGCGTGACAAGAACGACGTGGATCTGTAGGCAGCCAAGCCTTCAGATGCTGATCCGTTTGCAGATCTCCATCCTGCGGGGTTCACGATAATCCTCTAGTCTAGCTTTCGGGCGTAAGGCATTACAACTCCCGATTTGATCTGCCGTCGACTACCTACTAAGCCGAATCTCGATCCGGATGTGTTGAAAGGAAGCTTAGTGATCTGGTGAGGCGCGGGGCCCCGCGAAACCCGTATTCCCTATTTTCGGGTCGTTCCCGAGACGCCATTGATCCC